ATGGATGCTCTGCAGTGAATGGGTGCCGTCAGAATGAGAGTCCAAACAGCTGATAAAAACATCACAGTAATCCACAGCACTCCAGTCCATCAGTTAACATCTGGAGAAGAGAAAAGCTGCGTGTTTGTAAGAAACAAATCCATTAGAGGATCCATTGCTGAGCAAGTGATGCAATGCTACATTTCTCCAAATCTGATGAAGAAGCAAACTCATCTTCATCTTGGATGGCCTGAGGGTGAGCACATTTTCAGCAAAGTTTCATTTTTAGATGAACTATTCCTTTATAAGAAAACAGCTACCTTATTTACATTTCCTAAATAACATGTGTGGTTAGAATTAATGTTTCTCAGATTATAATACGTTCTAAATTGTACACCATAGTTTCCTGAATAATATATGCTTTCCAGTGGGCTCTCAAAGTATGGATAAATCCGAGAGAAAGATTGATATAATGGCCAGAACAATTAATCTGCTGAAATTTGGTCATTCAATAGTCATTCCAGCTACTGTCAGCCTTTTTTTAGAAAAAGAAATGGTAAAAATAGTTTGGTTTGGTTAAAAACCAAAGGCAGCAATATAGTTGTTTTCCAAATTGTGACAGAGCTTTGGACTTTTTGCCAAATTCGGAATGATGTAAATGTAAATTTTTCAGCTTGTTTTGAGCGAAAGCGCCAACCTTTATAATACTGTTATCTGATTTGACATGCAACTGAAATTTAAGGTTAGCAAACAGATTTGCATAATTTGTTCTTGTCTTGTCAAGTAGTCAGCAGCTGCATTACAACAGTTGTCCGGATGTGCTGCTAAGATGACCACCAAGTGAACTGACTTGAGGCTTTGTTTGTGACAGAAACCATCCTTCAATCTGACCAGGATTTAGAAAAGAAGGAGGGGAGATGGGAGGTACAGTCAGTCAGTTCAAGATCACATTACAATGAGCCAGCAACAGCACGATGACTAAGAGAGAATGCAGGAAGAGACAAGTGCAAAAACACAAATGTGGAGATAGCATGAACATAGAATAGAAAACATAAGAATATCATAATAATTGAACAGGATTTGCCACCTCTTCTTTAATGTGGCAAGTGTCAAGTTCAAGGAGAGGACCTGATTCTCAAACTGATTGACAAAAAATCAAGCTTTTACACTTTTCAGGGAATCGACCTACAAATGGTTTACTTACAGCTGTCTCTGCATTTAAGCTTTGATAAGAGTACAAACATATGACAAATACACGTCTCAGCTTTAACACAGCTTATTCATAACTTCTGTGAGCACTTCATCATCTTCATCCTGTCTGTTATTCACTTGATTGTCACAAACGTTACCCAGTTTGCCCAAATTGGCAAGATAATAAGTAGGTTTAAGAAGTTTCTCTCACTGCCTATCAAGCTCTGCAGTTTAAGATAACCCGCATTTATGGTAAATCATCTAATGACAGTAAAGAGGCAATACAGGAACTAACATCAACCAGTTCAACCAGTCTATGAGGAGATATGTAATTACACACACACACACACACACACTCTCTCTCTCTCTCTCACACACACACACACTCTCACACACACACACACACACACACACACACACACACACACACACACAGCATGAAAAGCATCCATCACTAGACTTGCACAATATATACAGCCACAGAATTCCACTTATATATTTCATATTA